CTCACAGCAACCTCCAACTCCTGGGCTCAAGCGAGCCTCCTGCCTCAGCCTCCCAAGCAGCTGGGACCACAGGCGCACGCCACAACGCCTGGCCATTTTTTGGTTGCAGCCATCGTTGTTGTTTGGCGGGCCCGGGCTGGGGATTTGAACCCACCTCCTTAGGTGTATGTGGCTGGCGCCTTAGCCGCTTGAGCTACAGACGCTGAGCCGCTAACTATTAGTTTCATAATAGTGTTGAGTACATTGGATACTTTTTCTTCCATTCTTGAGACACTTTGCTAAGGAGGACATTTTCCAGCTCCATCCATGTAAACATGAAGGAGGCAAGGTCTCCATCTTTCTTTGTGGCTGTATAGTATTCCATGGTGTACATATACCGCAATTTATTGATCCATTAATGGGTCGATGGGCACTTGGGCTTCTTCCATGACCTAGAGATTGTGAATTGGGCTGCAGTGAACATTCTGGTACAGATATCTGTATTATAGCGTGATTTATGGTCTTCTTGGTATATACCTAACAGAGAAATTACAGGATCAAATGGTAGATCTATATTTAGATCTCTGAGTGTTCTCCATATGGTTTTCCAAAAGGGACGTAATAGTTTGCATTCCCACCAGCAGTGTAGTAGTGTTCCCTTTTCTCTGCAACCCCGCCAGCATCTGTGACTTTGGGATTTTATGATATGGGCTAATCTAACTGGCGTTAGATGATATCTCACAGTGGTTTTGATTTGCATTTCTCTGATGATTAAGGATGGTGAGCATTTTTTCATATATCTGTAGGCCATGCGTCTGTCTTCTTCAGAGAAGTTTCTCTTTAAGTCTCTTGCCCACCCTGTGATGGGATCACTTGTTCTCTTTGCTACTATGCTTAAGTTCTCTGTGGATTCTGGTTATAAGACCTTTGTCGGATACATAACCAGCAAATATCTTTTCCCATTCTGAGGGTTGTCTACTTACTTTTCTTACTGTGTCCTTGGATGTGCAGAAGCTTTTTAATTTGAGGAGGTCCCAATAGTATATTTTTGATGTTGCTTCAATTGCCAGGGGGTCCTCCTCATAAAATTTTCGCCCAGGCCTATTTCTTCAAGAGTTTTCCCCACACTTTCTTCTAATGTTTTTATAGTTTCATGTCTTAAATTTAAGTCTTTAATCCAGTGAGAATCTATTTTAGTTAGTGGTGACAGGTGTGGGTCCAGTTTCAGTTTTCTGCACATCGCTAACCAGTTCGTCCAGCACCATTTGTTGAATAGGGAATCTTTTCTCCATTCAGTGTTTTTAATTGGCTTGTCAAAGATCATATAGCGGTAAGTAGCCGGGTTCAGCTCTTGGTTCTCTATTCTGTTCCCTACATCTACCCCTCTGTTTTTGTGCCAGTACCATGCTGTTTTGATCACTATTGATTTATAATATAGTCTGATGTCTGGTAGCATGATCCCCCTGCTTTGTTTTTGTTTCTGAGTATTGTCTTGGCTATTTGAGGTTTTTTCTGATATGAAATGCAGTATTATTTTTTTGAGATCTTTAAAGTATGACAATGGAACTTTAATAGGGATTGCATTGAAATTATATATTGCTTTAGGTAGTATAGACATTTTAACAATATTAATTTTTCCCAGCCATGAGCAGGGTATGTTTGTAGTTTGTTGGTATTTTCAGCTATTTCTTTTCTTAGAGTTTCATAGTTCTCTTTATAAAGATCTTTCACGTCCTTTGTTAGGTAAACTCCGAGATATTTCATCTTCTTTGGCACTACTGTGAATGGAATAGAGTTCTTGACTGTTTTTTCAGCTTGACTATTGTTGGTATATATAAAGGCTACTGACTTATGGGTGTTGATTTTGTAACCTGAGATGCTGCTGTATTCCTTGATCACTTCTAGGAGTTTTGTAGTAGGATCCCTGGTGTTTTCCAGATATATAATCATGCGAAAAGTGAGAGTTTGATCTCATCAAATCCTATGTGAATACCCTTGATTTCTTTTTCTTCCCTAATTGCTATGGCTAAGACTTCCATTATGATGTTGAAGAGCAATGGGGACACTGGGCAACCTTGCCTGGTTCCTGATCTGAGTGGAAATGGTTTCAATTTGATTCCATTCAATACGATACTGGCTGTGGGTTTGCTGTAGATGGCCTCTATCAACTTGAGAAAAGTCCCTTCTATGCCTATTTTCTTAAGTGTTCTAATCATGAATGGATGCTGGATATTGTCAAAAGCTTTTTCTGCATCAATTGAGAGGATCATATGGTCTTTGTTTTTTAATTTGTTTATGTGGTGGATTACGTTTATAGATTTGTGTATGTTGAACCAGCCTTGAGATCCTGGGATAAAACCCACTTGGTCATGGTGTATAATTTGCTTGATGTGTTTCCCTTTATTCTAAATACAGTACTGGGCATATAGTAGCCTCCATTAAATTTTAGTTGAGTGAACAAACATCCCGGTGAAGTGAGTGATGTAGTCCTTAGTCCCCTTCAATTTTCAGGATGGAGAGAGACAGAGGATAAGGACATCACACAAAGTCACAAAGTACTTGATAGAAGAAACTTGGGAACTGCTTTCCTCCAGACAAATGTGGTTTTCATTGGAAGATCCTGCAGAAATGCCTGACCCAGTACATTTGTTTCCCTGCTGGGTTTGTGTGAGGAGAAAGACTGACAGAGATGCCCTTGGAGGGTGGGTAAATGCATGAACTTGTGGCACTTGGATGCATGCATGTGTGATCTTCTCTTTTCCTCTCTCTTCCTGCCTTTTCATAGCATCAAGCTGAGCTCCCAGCCCCGGACACAGGCTGGGGATGATGAGAAGAACCCAAGGACAATCATCGTCAACCCTGCCCACATGGGGAAGGCGTTCAAGGTTATGAATGAATTGCGGAGGTACTTTTTCTATCTTACCTGTGCCCTTTCAGAAGGAACTTGCAGGGTGAGCTTCATCAGGAACTGGGAACAGAAATCAGAACCACTACTTAGGAAATTCTGACTCTTCTCCACCCACGTTCAGTCACGTGGCTTACCCTCATAAACTCTGAGACAGAATGGCTTTGCTAGAAATCTCTCTTTCCTTTGTATTTACTTAACACCTATCATTTTAATGATTAATCACGAGGGAAAAATTCTTTATGGTTACAGCAGGTCTGTTCATAAACTTGATTTTCAGTAGAATCAGCTCCTTGAAAACCAATAATAGAATAATTGCAACACCTACACACAACTGGAGATTAAAGATTGTGGATGTCATATATTTTCTTTTGATCGCTCTCTCTCATTCTTTGGTCTGAATTAAGCTTGGCAAGATAGACATATAAATGGAAGAATACCTAGTTCCTTAAATGCAATTTAACTCTGTAAAGAAACAAATGAAATGCAAATATACTCATTCTCTCTGGCTAAATGGTATGTAGGCTGTTTGTAAGGCCAGTGTGCATGTTTGACAAGTTTATTGTAAGACTAATTCAGGGCACTGAACATATTTTTCTATATAAAGCCTACGTACACAGAGAGCTCTGAAGCTTCCTTTGCCCACACCATTATTCACTGCATACTTCATCCTCTTGTGAGGTATAATTGTTATCTCATCTTTTCTTTGTAGTTCATGAACTTTCTGAGGGCAAGATGACTTCTGCATAATTTTTATCTCTAGTATCTAGCACTTCTGGGAGCTTCTGTTCATTCATCAGAGATGCCCAGAGGCACTGGCTAGGCCCTGGAATGAGTGGGTGGTGTTGCAAAATAAAAAATGTAAATAGGTTAATGAAAATAATCTTTCTACAGTGCAAATAGGTGTTATGAAGGAGAAATGCATCTACCAGGTGCCTGGTAGATGGTAGGTATACAATAATTATTTTTGTTTCTAAAAGGGTTCTGCAGAAGCAAGTATGTTAGACTGGGACTTTGGAGAGTACTTTGTAAAGGCAGGTGATGCTTCAGATGAATTTTGAAGGACAAGTAAGAATTAAAGAAATGAAGGGCAGTAAGGGTAGGGAAATGCCTTCTATGCAGAGAAAATGGCTGTAGTAGAGGAAGTGTTTGTTGAGTGGGGGATTGAGATATTTTTAATAAAGCAAAGTAAAATTCTATCTGGTTCTATTTTTGTTTTCTCATTTCTCCTTTCTACAGGGCCCAGGCTTTGGAATTAAAAACCAACTTAAACTAAATTTGTTTTGTGCTCTACTGCTCATTTTTTATTAGGCCTTCTGCCAGATTTCCTGAAAGCTCTGCCCATAGCTCTCTTAGGCATTGGGCAGTGCTGATGCTCGTGCCTATGGGCACATTTCTCTTGTTGCTAAAGAACTTGTGTTGTATTCTCTAGATACTGTTGAAGTTCCTCACTTAGTTCCTTTGGATATAGCTTGTGTCCTTTGTCTGATTTAAGGGTCTGATTTAGGAGCTAACTCCAGTGACTGCTCAAAGGGAGAGGGCTCAAGATCCTCCCTACCTTCCACCCCATCCCACTCTCTACTGCTGGCATTTTTTTCTTAAATAATTTTAAAAAGTCATCCTAAGTTTTTGTTGCTGTTATTACAAGTTACCAGGTTTTTGTATCTTTCCTCAAGAGCACTGAGTTGGATTTAATCTCCTCCAACAGTCCTGCTGTTGCTTCTTTTGTATAATTCAGCATTTGCCAATGTCTGTTCAAAGGAATGGTAGTTCCCTCAAGATGCTCTGTGGCAAAAAAGAGCTCTGCACTTAGATGAATTTGAAAAACGCTACATATTGCCTCCCTGCCCCTACTCTGAAGTTCATAATGCATACTGGCATATTAAATACTCTGAGAAGTCCAGCAATAAATTTGCCTGACTGAGGGTTTCCCATACATATTTGACTACAGAATCCACTTTGGTGGTGGTTGTTATGTATAGACCAAATGTTTTGTTAAGCTTGTTTTGGAAAACACTGTTCTAAATGCCAGACTTAGTCTTTGCTGAAATTTAAGTGAATAATTTTCTTTTTATTGTTTTCAAATGGACCATAATCTTTATATTCTTGGCTAGCTGGGAAAATTTTAATTCAGATTTACACATAGATTTTCCTTTCTTTTTTTGTTTTTATAAAAAGAATTTATTTGTTATAGATCATTTAGAAACCACAGATGAGCAACAAGTCATCTATAATTTTATTACCACTTTGGACAATAGACCTCTTTAAATATTTCTTTTTTTTTTTTTTTT